TTCTGTGTAAAGTAGAATACACTTCCTATTTCAGATCAAGTCATCTACTTCTACCTAATTCACGGTGGAGGAGGGTGGGACGCTGGGATTGCAGTAGCTGGTTATATCCCCGGATCGTCGATCCTCTCTCTCGTGTTCCGACAAAGGAGTACTCGTCATATTTCAAGCAAATCAACTGACGTGTTGTCATGCGTTCATAACAAATGTGCATTAAGAAATTCTAATGATGCTGAAGCGTTGATATGAGTACAAGGCTGTATTCCAGAGCACGTTCAACGGAACTCATTGAGAGTCAGTGCAATTGCTTAGCATTTTACCGATATTTAGAATCTTATAAATGCTATTCAGTACCTTGAAACGATCCCTAGCTGCAAGTATATAACTCCATCATATATCCTTGTGGTAGTGAATAACTCAACATTCTTAGTGAAGTTCCTATTCGTTAGGGCAGTGATAAATTTATCATGTACGATGTATATTGAACAAACAATTTTAAATCACGTTTATTAGTATGAATGTTGTTGTCTACACATATTTTTACACAGTGTTCTTCTGACCAATATCTATGTCATCCATTTCCATATATTTTTTTCATCTACCGAATTTCTAAGGCTCTCAATGAATTTATGTGTGTGCATGTCTACATACGTCTACCCTTTATATACTTCAATCATTTCAATTTCTCCCTTATTCTGAACACCACTATTTTGAAGCCGTGTCGAAAAGATCGGAGGCAGTTGATTTTTCGGTTGATACAGTGCTAAAATTCTATTAGTTTCTGTTTACGGACTCATATCAGTAATTCTGAAAATTTAGTTGACTACATAAAGGCGTCTATGATTGCCTGAATATCCATATTATAATAAAGCTTATCAGTTCAATTCTGGCCCTAGATGTTTGTTTATGAATCTACATATCTATATCAAAAAGAAGCTAAATTCATCAGTCAAAATAAAGTCCAATGATGATTATATTGGCAGTAAGGGGAATAGTTCTTTAAATAATAATTATAATAATAATAATCATAATAATAAAAATTATGATTCATGAAGCCAATTCATTGGTAAATAAATCAGTGAAACATGCACATTTTAAGTTTTACATTTGGAGAACGTACTTTGAATATGAAATTTGCGTAATCTTCGATTTTTCCGTGAAACGATTCCTTAGATATTATGTTTAAATCAATACCACGAACCTGAATAATGAGTAGTTATTTGCACATTGTAATAAAATTAAACAAACCAATTCATCAGCCTTATTTCTGTCATCTTCATTGTACCATAATCTTGATGACAATGATTCAGTGAACGTTTCCTTCAACTGACTGAACATATCAACAACCTATTCAACAGAAATAAATACACTGATCAAAGCGATTACGCAAACAGTGCGAACAAATAATAGTTATTATATAATCATTCAATAACAAATAGTCGTTTGAAGAATCACAAATAATAAGACAGAACTGATTACATTATTTTCAAAATTCAAAATATTCCTTTCCCATTGTAGTTCCAGATTTACCGAAGTGTAGTTATGCTTATGTAACTGAAGGTACATTAATGAATTTGAACAACACATATAAAGTGGTATCTGAAATTTGAAACTTGCCTCCTCACGTGTATTTTTACTTGCATGTGAATAATCGTGAAATTGATTTAGTGTCCACCAGAAATTATCCTTCAGCTGGTCAATACAAGTTGGAAACTTTTCATCGAACGTTTTTGCTGAAATAATAACAATATTTTGTTACACATCTAATGAATAATAAATAGAACAGCATTTTGAAAGTGTTTAATTAGGATTAACGGAATGTTTGATCATCAAGAAAATATTCTGATTTTAAATAGCAACATATATAGTGTTCCCTTCGAACAACGCTTTCTATTACTGGTACAAGTTGAAATGACATACAATGACAAGCGGTTACTTGACAAATGTAAAAGGTGAAAAGCGATCTGAATGATGCAAAAATCTCGTTGTTTGAATGAACGTCATTATAACGTAAATGAGGATAAATGCAACTACTTTATTCGAAGTTTATTTAAAAGGCTTTTAAATTGATCCTTCTAATTTTTTCGTCCTGATTTGTCCCACTAGAATGTATTCAAACGCTATCAACACACTATGTAGAATGTATCAACACTGAATAGAACATTCATTTCAATTAAATTTTAATGTGTTTATCCATGTTACGTTTAATGATAGATACCAATAAATCAATCAGTTAACAACAAATCGATAATGCATAATATTAAGGCCATTATAAAGAAACTTACATTTATCAGAAGGATACAAATCTTTGAAGTCTATTTTGCCGGTATTCATCATATTATACCAGAAAGTAATCAGAAACATATTCACTATTTCACTGAAAGAATGAAATGGAACACTTCATGTCTCAGCAATATGTAGTGGACACTTAATTCAAAATTAGCAGTTATGATCATATATTAGAGTGGAAGTTACTGATTCTACACATCTGATGAACGTACAATATTCCAACGGGCTCTAACGATCTCTCAGTAAATCGCGAACGAATATCTACCCTTAAAGTTATTATAGCGAAAGTTAATAAAGTTTCATTGAAATATTCGTTTACAATGGAACAATGCAATGCCGAATTCGCTTCCATACCATACTGATATATCGCTCCATAAAAAATGTTGAGCAATATACATGTGCTGTTATCGTCACACTGATTAAATCACTCATGGTCGCTGGTGTATTACCCTTCAATCAATGTATATTCATTACATATGCATTAAATAGAATGTACGATGTTATTGTCGATCAAACATTTTCTTCCTTATTATATAAAACACTTGATCCTACAACCAATTCAGACAATTATCTATGAATAAATCAATTTGATGATATGAAGAATTCATCGAAGTCATTTATTAATCTGAACATTCTGTCAACCTTATTAATCCTGGATGACTTTGAAATAGAATTAAGGATACCAGAAGAAAACAGACTTTAAATGATCAAATAAGTTCATTTCGCATTCTAAAAATACTATGATTCATATGAGACGAATGTATTATCAAACAATAATTTGGTTTTCTTAAAAGAAATCAACATAGCGCGTCACTATCATGCCTGATGAATATCATGGTCATTGAAGAATTATCTGCCTAAAACTGTTTAAAATACTACGAAATTATCTACAGTTTACAAATTCCTATGATGTGAGTGTTTACGGATCACAAATAAATATTACTGAGGATATTTGGGGTTTGAACAATGTCATCTCTGACAAATGAGTAATACAAATGTTACGAATAGCGTTCAACATTGTTTTTTCACTTTAATCAACATAACAGACGCAAAGATGTCTGACAACACCATATCGACTTCAATATAAACGATGCATTCGAACAATAAAATTTTTAACGTATCACTTGATACAAATTTTTCCATTGTACATAAATCAGAATTTATGGAACAAGGAATATTTACAGTAAATCAATCACTTGATGATGGAATTTTACTGTGAACCTTGTGCACAATCTGTCGCTAGAAATATCTCGGTGTTACCAACAATGTGCAGACAAAATATAATAGAATGTCTTTTATTGAAAGAAATCGTTTATGGAAAGCAAAAGCTCATTTTACAAAGAAATACCTGCTTCCATCTGTTGTTTTCGCGGATTCACTATATATTTCACAGAATCTTTCGAGGACATGCAAGTCTATTACATTAATCTTAATATGCTTGTATGAGGTATACTCGAATGCAATGAGGAGACTTTTCAATAATAAATCCCAATCGATCTGGTCAAAATAAATAATTGGCAGTTAATTGACAAATCATTATACATCAATATATTGTGCCTAATGTTTCACACAAGCAATCGCTCTATCTCTCAATGTCAATGTGTTGTCATATGTAGTTGCAAAGTTCAATTCCATACTTAACTTTCAAAATCAACCATGAAAACGCTGCACTCGCTTCCATGAGCCACTTAGCCCTTCGAAATATCAAAATTCTTCAATTTCGTTGACCAGGGGGCGCATGCAACTGTAGCCTTTGCAATCACAAGTAATATGATACTTTCAAACAACAGGCATACGTTCTTTGAGTGACTGTAGTTATTTCCCTCCCTCTTTCAATAGAAAATGTCAGAAGACTACTATTATCATATTACTATTCGTAGAGCGAACTAATAGCTTCGTTCATTCTGACGGTTAATCCACCGTTGTTTCAAATAGTTGAGCCTGTTGTAGACGTATAACCTTTATTTACAAGTGTTCAAATATAATGAATAATGCATGGATCATCGAACAATTGAGTTACAACACGTTTCTATAAAGTTATATCAATTCATAACTTACTATAGGGCAGTTTTTTTGAAGATAGTTTGCGGTGACCTCGCGCTCACTGTCCTCCTGTTCATAGAAATTATGTTAGCATAAAAAAACTTAATCAGCTGTTTGATGGACAGCATGCAATATCGTCTTACATAATTGATAATGATTCAGAAAGTGTTTGCAAACTGACTTTCGCTGACGCAACTCTTGAATCATTTACCTAAAAATTGATCCTTTCTTAAATCGATCTCATTCATTTTTTTGTCAGCATTAGATAATCCGAAAAAATTTCGCAAATTTCGCTAGCAACTACGCGTTTCTCAAATCCGTTAGTATCAGTGGTATGTGCCGATTAATTTTTTTTAAGATATTAATTCAGATATCAAATAATTTATTACATATACTAAGTGTCCTTTGTATTATTATAATAATCCCTTTTAAAAGATAATGAAAGAAATTTTACGGTAAAAACTGTTGATCATCTGGCATGATCATAAATCTTCCGAATGTTTGCCAGTTTGCGTCAGTGAAAAATTATATACTTTTAGGGAACTAAAACTTTGTTTTATGCCACAGGGATTCACTGGTGTGATTGAGAAGTTTCATTTAGCAGAATGTTTGGTCGCTTACAATAATAAATTGCAATCAATGAACAAAACGTATTATGCAATGACATTGAGTCAACAGTGAACATTAGGTTCCATTTTACTAACCGTTTCATCCCATGTAGCATTTATCTGTGAATTCAATATCTTTTGATTTAATTTGGGGTTCTTCAAATGATGTGCAATCGGTTCTAAGGCTTTTCCGTCTGCTTCATTGATCTATAGATAGAAAAAGCAGGACATACAGGTTTCTCGTTATCAAGCAACAACTTTTATTCAGGAAAAAAATGTACTATATAAGAGTTACTATTAGAATGAACTGCAGTAGTATGTAGTCGTGCAAGGAACTTGATGAATAGTTTTCAGTGAAAAAGCTCACATACAAAAACCTAAAAGACAGAAATTCTTGATCTTGTGTTCGTGGTAGCTAAGAATATTCAGACTGGACTCAGAAGTTGTCAAACAGCATCCTAGCGGACTGACAGCATATACCTTTATCCGTCCTGATTGAAAGGCTGGAAGGACTTCAAATAACAAACAATAATACATAACAACACAAACGCAAATATGTATATACGTCTACGTTTCCAGATAACCAGCTGTAACATGTTACTGTAACCAAGGATCTTGTCTTGACGAAGATTCGGCGACTGACAACTTGAAAATTAAAACTGATATTTTACGACAACAGACGGTTATCAAATGAAGCTTTATAGCGCACCGAAAGCACTGTGTAAAATAAAAATAACATTTTGTAAAGGTCATCAACTGATAATGTTCAGTACAATTAAATGGATCTGATGATAAATAAACACTGGATAATAAACAAGAATCTCTACGAATGTCTTTTGCGTTCTCGCATGATTACGAAAGACTATTTGAACGCTCAGGTGTCAAAACTTGGTTGAGCCTGCTTCGTCAGTACTGAGTATGTGGGAAGATCGTCGTCATCGCTCGAACCGCAAATAACGGGTGCAATCGACAAGATGTCTTTTGAAAGCCGCCTACGGTTGTATTCCAGGTGAAAAGTGGTGTCAAGAAACACAAACGTTTTTCGCTCCTTCCAGCCATCAAACAGATATGGAGTAAAGCAGATTTTCTACTTCCTCCCTTAGGTACACAGTGATGAGTAAGGGCTCAGTTGGCGAGAGATGCAGTAGCATCAACAATCGTAAGTAAAAACACAAGATTTCGAAGTACAGCACAGAGTCCAACATCCAAGTCACACATCGTGACAAAACGGTCCAAGGGATAGACGCAATTAGGAACATGCCATGGATCACCGATAAACAAGCAGAATTCACTTCAGTTAGTAATGTACATATTGGCAGAGCAGGAGCACGTTTCAGAAAAGATGCAGTAGACACAGGACCGTAATGAATTTTCACACCAAACCAAAGTATGAACGGACATTGAAAGTATATCACTATTTCTGAACTCATTTCCTAGCAAGATACTGAAGGTACCTTCCGCGGAAACCATCAACTACAGGCCGATTAGGTAGATAACAAACCAGTTGACTAGAAAATGTGTAATGGTATTAGTCAACAGATGAGATAAGATGGATAAAACTCAACAAGGAGTCTTCAAGTCCATAGAAGAGGCTGGGGTTTAACTAAAAGTCACGTTCGAGAAACCTCGACGTATGTTAAGATCGTGAGTAGTTCTCAACATTGTTTAGAAAGGGGAGCAGAAGATAACACTTGATACGATTGAGATGTAAAACTATTCAGGATCCAGCATCAACAGTACTCAATAAACCATTGTCTTACTAAAATTATCACATGAATTTGTTTGAACTTTGATGTCTGATGAATATTAGTTTCATGAACTATTTCATGCGTTGCAGATAACTAGTTGTTACATGATAAAAATGAACATCATTTTCTTTTTCACATAAATATACATACATATATACTTTATTTATTTGATCATACCATTGGTGAAATCTTCTGGATTACGTCTGCAAGCCATAAAGGAGTTATCTGAAAGTAGAAGGTCACATTAACTTTTAAAATTAGTTCAAATGAAATGCGGAATTAGTTACCGTCAGACACGCGCAAGCGTTTACCTGTGATATTCTTCATAAACGTACGCGGATTTCCTTTCTTAGCTATGCAATTATATTAGCCTGTCGTAACCAAGTCAGTAAATGCAGTGAGTTCCACGATACGATTGAAGATAAATGAAACAGAGTTTCACTAATCTAATACATGACCATTCCGCGAATTCTCAAGTGATTCTGACAACACAAACTGGATGATATTATGCATATATCTGTTAGACTGAAATCAAGGCTGTTCTTTCTTGATACTTGTCTTTGGGGAGTGAAATGTTACGAATCGTCACCGAGTTAAACTTTATCGATAAGCATGATAAAAATGACTTTAAGTCCGTGAAAGCATGAACGCATCAGTCAGTGAACTAAATGACAATTTGTTCGTGGTAAAATATGGATCCCTTCAAATATGTTCGAAATTCGCTCACACTGATAGTAACATGTTGAGTAATTCAACTGATTAACAGTGCAACGTCAGAAAACAACGTTTATTACGAATAGGTATTCAGATTATGTGTTTGTTAATTCATTTTTCATATAACTGATCATAACCTATTTATTCGTTAACTTACGTAAAAAGAAATTTTATTATTCGGAAGCCAAATAATTGATAGTTGAAATATTGGTGAAATTCCATCTTGGAATATCAGTGGTAAAAGTAATTTGGTGAAATCGGCTTTTTCGATAGGTTTAAGGTCATTATTACGATTCACACCTGATGACAATAGTGTTCCTATGAAAACTGATTTGAGCAATTTATCAATCTCTGCCTTATTCTCCGATTCAGACATTGTGATGGCATTTATGCAAGTAGTGTAATAATCCTTAGCTGTTCGAATACTCGGCTCACTTGCATACTTTGATTTTTCCACTTAAAACAACAGAAAACAATAATTTCAAGATTTCAAAAACGTTATAGGAACAATTATTTATTTACTGCATATTCACAATAAAAGAAGTATTTTCTATACCTAAATTCCAAATGTAACTCAAAAAGACCACTGTATTATGTCAGAGATTTCAAAGTTTTTACTTCGAACATTACTTGATATTTTGTGCGACTTAATTATTTATTTAAGATTATTCTGGATTTTCACAACAAATACTGAGTATTTGTGTTAAAGAAGTAATTTATTGTCAAGCGATAACGATTACGTGAAAATAAAAATAGGTTTCTCTTCATATATAAACTTCGTGAAGGTTAGGAAGTGCGTTCTACAAAAACTCAAAAAGAACAATGATTTCAAACACACAAATCGCGTTTATTTATACACTACAGAGACTTTCGCGGGAGGGTCACAAAAATAGCAGACTGAAATAACACACTTATCAATCAAAAACAGGGCGTTTTCTGGTGAGAAATTCATCGGAGCGCGGATATCATGCATGGAGGGAACAAACTCTGAATAATAACTGGATAACCCAAGAATAGATCGTAATACCAAGACATTAGTGCAACCAGGCATTAGAGTGATAGCTCGAAAGTATTCAGGATAATATCTGTAGCAGTCAAAATAACTACTGGTCCTACCACTGACTGACTGAGTAGTTGTCGGTGTAGATGAGATCGAGAAGAGGTATGCGTCTGAGTAGGCATCTCCATTAACTTCAGTTGTTGTGCAAACAATTTTTCTAATTAGGCTGGATCCATAAATATTCATCAACTCGTTTAGCGAATAACATTTATGGCCGTCACTAGGTATGCTTGAAATTATCACGGGTTCAGCTTGGTCGATAAACATAACTGAGTCCACGTAAGCTACTTTGATTCATTGATGTGAAGATACTAACCAAAATTCTTGATATGGCGTTGAAAATGTATCCTACAAACACTTGACAATTACAATGAATTCAGGCACACATATCGCGTTTATTTATACACTACAGAGACGTTTTCGGGAGAGTCACAAAAATAGCAGACTAAATAACACACTAATCAGTCAAAAACTGGGCTTTTCCTGGTGGGAAATGTGATCTCAAGGTCAGCTGATCAGCTCATGAATAAAATACTGAACGAAGTCATTATTCATGCTAATTATGGGTATCTAACATGCCCAACAAAACAATGCCACTGAAGTTCGTCATTGATATCTAACTTTACTTTCGAACTGATTTCAGTTCATGTATTACTCATAGCAATTACGCAAATAATAAGCGACTTTGTATTCCGTTCACTTAATCTTATCATAGAGCTTTGAATATTCTATAATTCATAGATCGTCGCACTGATTTTTCTGTTCCGTTTTGTGCAACCTAATTCCTTGTGTAATATCAATCTATTTGTACACACCAAATGCTGAATAGTTGTGTTGAAGAAGTACTATGTTGTCAAAAGATAATGATTGTAGAAATATGTTCTACCTAACTGAACACACGTTTCTTTAAATATATACCTAGATAGATAGCTCATCGAATTTCCAAAACAGAACATTCTTAGTGAGTTTGATACACCAGTGAAGATGGAGATAAATAAAACATGGTTGATAATGATTCATTCCGTGAATGATTCTGCTTGTCTTCAAAATTATTTTCTATTCACAAAAGATATACTGCATGAACAGTGGTGTATCGTCGATTTTATTCAGTGCGCTAATGATTAATCAATCGACTAGAGACAGCAGTAGTTTATTTGATACATTTTAAATACTGTACTATTCTAACTGTTTATTGACTAATGAATAATTGAATAATCACTATTTTCTTGTTTTTTCCAATCATGTTCATGGAAATTTCAAGTAATTTGCCTTCTAAATTGTATGATCAATATTCAGCACAAAATAATTGGTTTGAAACAATTATTAGGTTTGCTTCAGATGAGATATATGCATGAAGTGTGAATGTTTCTTTGAAGCTGAAGTCAAATTTCAGAAACAATAATATTTTGATTCTATCAACGATATGATCTTTTCAGAACTGCAACTGACATAACTATACCTGAAATGCGGATACTATCTTACTTGTCATTATACTTGTCATGGTGTAGAGTTTTATTCAACGTAAGTTCGCTCAAATTATACTTATCCTGTGTTTACTTTATTAATTATGATAAGAAATGATGACAAGTGATGAAAAGCATCAACAACGAAAAATGTACAGTATGATCAAATCAGATTGAGAAATCATAGAAACTAATAACTTCATTACCACATCACATTACTGTTTGACATTCAGCTATGCTGTGATAAATAAATGAGCACAAGTACTCAACTGAAAATGTTCGTTAATGCGCCTGAATATGAAAATGCATCGCTATGTCTCTTATCAAATGATAAATAAAACTTCTCAAACAACAAGTGAATTATCCGTTGAGGTGTGAAACATGATTTTGAAATCCAAACATTTTGTAAATATCTGCTTGATATAACGGACGTTAAACGAGAGGATATTTGAATAAAAACAAAAATCAATGAAAAAACTCTTGTGCAACTCACAGATTTGATGGACGTATTCATTTATCTTAGTTGTAGTCACATCGGTAATATTCGAAAAGTGAGGCTGACAAGCGACCTTCCTAAAGTCAGCACACGTCGCTGTATCATCGCATGTACAAAGATGAATATTTCAAACAGAAAAACAATTGATAGAAACTATTAAAGAATGATTATAAGGTATGGTTTAACATAGAAAGCCAAAATATTACAACCAGAAACAAATTGAAACAGAAAAGCTATTATTATTACCGATAGGAGTGATTGAATGGACAAACTGTGAATAAGTTATGCAGTATTATTGAGCCCGTTTATTGAGAGAGAGAAAGAGAGTCAAGACATGTATTTCACTTTACGTGCACATTAATATTGACATAACGTTTGAATAATGACATTCACTATCAAACTGTTGCAAACAAAGCTATTAACTGCAAATCAGGAATATGCCTCCAGAACGAAGTGTATTATCAGTCAACAATTTGAATCAGTTGAAATACGGCTAGCCAAACTTCGTAAATTTACTGCTGTGATGATTGTTGCATTTGTTAGGTATGTCATTAGGTACGCTTGAAACCATTACGGGTTCACATTGGTCGTTAAAATAGAACGAGACAATAAACCAGCGTCCAGGTAGGCTAACTTGATCTTAAACAGCTGAAGTGAAGTCTTGATAAGAGCAGAAAGTATATTCAAAAAACACGCAGCAAGCACAATACAATCAAGCAGACAAATTTATTTATTTATACATCATAGAAACGTCCTCGGGACAGTCACAAAAATAGCATACTTAATTACATAGCAGCAAATCACAGCCAAGAATTTTCCTGGTGAGAATAGAAATCTCAGGGTCAACTGATGACCTGATGTTTGCAAACGTGAAATCCAAAATAATGCATTTATCAAGCGAGTTCTGGGGATCTAACATCCCTAACAGCATTGTACAAAGAGGCAGTGCATTACGTTTCTTCATGTTTCTGTGTTCAGTTTGTTGAATGCTGAGATATCATAATGTCTCTTATCAAATGATGGATAAAAGTTCTCAGTCAACCATTGAATTATCCCTATAAGTGAGAATCCCGATACGGGAATCTAAAACTTTTGTCAAGATCTGCTTGATATAACGGACGTATAACGAGATACTTTTTCAACGAAATTAATCAACATCGAAAACCGATGCAAAACTCACAAACGTCATGTACGTATCCAGTTATTTTAGATGTAGTGACATCGGTAATATTCGAAAACTGAGGTTGACAAGGGATTTCGTTTAAGTTAACACAAGGAACTGTATCATCGCATGCGCAACAATAGTTGCATTTTCGATGGATATTTCAAACAGTAAAAATTTTAAAATACTAATGAACTATGGAGATAGGGTAGTGTGTATCACAAATATTCAATAACACTTCAAACAGAAACCGGTTGAAACAGAAAAGGTATTGTTTCTACTGATGGGACGGATTAAATGGATGAAATTTGAATAAGTTATGCAGAATTCTTGAGCTTGTTGATTAGGAGAGAGAGAGGCAATGCATGTATTTCACTTTACTTTCACATCATCAGTCAATAGCAGACGAAGCTCATTACAGCAAAACCAGGAAAACAACTGAAGAGCAAGGTGTATTATTAGTCAGTTTAAGTGAATCAGTTGAAGTAGCCATTGTGGAGCTGTGTAAATTAACTTCGATGATAACCACTTTGTAAAAAGTAGCGTTGCATTACATTTCTTCATGTTTCGGTTATAAGTTTGGTAATAGCTGCGACATTCGTGACTCTGTCTTGATGATTTTCCTGCGTGTATACATCGTTTTGTGAGACTTTCGCAATCAACATTAATCAAGTCTCCTTATTTATCACACCCTCATCCTAACTGCCAGTGCTCTTCTAACCAACCATTTCATTGCCTTTCACTCGGTCAAGGTGTTATCTTTTAGTTAGTAAATATGTCATTTGCAGTGCAAGTTAGATGTTTTAATTTTTCCTGTCATTATGTCTAAGTAGTTTTCCAACTGTGTCTGTCTATGTTTAGTTACAAGCAACATATTTCCAGATATATTTTCAATAGCGACTAAAATTCTAGGGTGATGCGTTGTTTATGTTAGGTAATATTTATTTACCAAATATTTTTGAGCTAGTTAATCGAAATGATTGTTTTTAAGTGTTTCATGATACATACACTATGCATACACTGTTAGAAACACACCATTCAACTGCAATTACATTATATATCTCGATGCCAAATATACACACAGACGAATAAAATCAATGTTCACGACCAATAAAATCAACACATCACTGACAATATGTTACGTCCTAAACATTGCACTGCAAACTATTACATACATGCCGAAGTACGATTACAG